AGGGGCTTGCTGCCGCATAGGCGTTGATCGGCTTCCAAACTTCTAGATCAGCAGCCGGAAGAACAAGACAAGCAGCCACTGAAGGATAAGGTTACCCCACATTGTTGTTCAACTACTGTTAGTAGTATGAGTACTACCATTGTTCTTATTATCACTATTACTGTTATCAACATTTCTATTGTTAATACTGTTATTACGAAACAGTTTCCAAAAGGCCTCTTTTCGCCGATCTTTCAGCTCACATCTGTTTATGTTGGTCTTTCTTTTTCCAATGTTTTTTTGTTGGCATATGGGGCTGACACAAACTTTTCTCACCTTCCCCCGTTATGTACTCCTCAATAGGGACGTCCATAATGCCATAATCCTTTCTAGTCCCTGTGTGCCCAAGACTCCTCGCGGAGCTGGGGGTGTCAGCGGCCATATCAGGGAGCGGCCAAAAAGCACTGGGTTTGCAACAGGCCTTGGGCGGCCCTTCCGCGTAACAGAAAGACCCGTCATGCGACAGACCCCCGTGACAGAACCCGCCACAAACTCCCCCTACATCCAAGGTCCGTGAAAGAGGGGTTTGAAACAAGGGGCCTTGAGAGAGGCCTCTCACCGCAGTGGGGGTGCCTCGCAATACTTCCATACAAGTAGAGCCTTGGCAGGGTACATATGCCCTTACACCCTTCACACTTGCACGTGGCTTCCCATGACCACCCGCGCTATATGTTCAATGGGGATATTATATTCCCTAAGTCATAGCCTCCGTTTGGGTCTAGGGTTTTTGTTAGAAGAACATGGTTTACGTGGAAGCCGTAAAAAAAACACGCGCCATCATCCCTACAGCCCCCATAGAACCCCAATCAGCATGTCATGTTCCCTGTGATTTTCCATTTATCTATCCGAAGCCCTGTCATATATATATATATATATATACATGTATACATATGTGTGTATATGTGTGTATATGTGTGTGTATGCGTGTGTACAACACCCCTCTAAACCCTAAACCCTAAGGCCTGAACCCTAAATCCCTACATCCTGACCTTGCACCTGAAGGCTGGCAGCAAGATTTCTGTCGGCACTGCGAAGCCCGGGTACCTTGACGTAACATTAATGGTTTAGGGTTTAGGGACGTAACATTTATGTAGAGGCCTGACTCCTCTGGAACATTCTTCCCTTACCATTACAGTCTTTGTAGCATTATAGTCGTTCTAGTGAGTGTGTACACATATATCTTAATGTGCTTATGTGTATATATACACACACACACATCTCTCTCTCTCTCTCTCTCTCTCCCCAACCTTTTTTATCATTCATGTTGCTAGTTAGGGGCTGCCAAAATTGTGTTTCTGTGGTCCGACTTAAAAGCTGGCCAAAGTTTAGGGTATAGGGCTTAGGGTACCCCAATTGGGTCGTCATGCTGGGGCCTATGTGAGGATCAGTCCTCAGCTTTCACATTCCTATGGCCGGTGGAACGAAGAAGAGGGTTTCCAAAAAGTAGGGGTTCTTTCAAAGGTGTTGTACAGCGGTATATATGGATATGTAGGGTTAACGGATTAGAGTTTAGGTCAAAAATGGTGTCCATTTTTGGGCGGTGTGAATGGGATCATAGCATTTTGCAGTACAAGCCCTCTTCTTGGAACCTTCCACAAGATTCCACTATGTAGCATAGCGAAGACATTGTGACCCCACTGGTATAAGGTATAAGGTTCATAGGGTAGCGCCAGATTTCCTGCATCCGCGACAGGTTACATGCAGATCTGCTTTACTTGATAATATGCCACGGTCTGCAGTATATGGTAGTTTCCCAAGATGAGGAAACGCCAGTATAGGCACCAAAAGAGCACAATGCTCATGATGGGGAGCCGCAAAATGGTACCCCTGATCTTGGAAACCCTAAACCATCCTAAACCTTAATCCCTGAACTCTAAACCCTATATATCCCCATATGCCCCCAAATATCGCCTATAAGTTTGGGAAAGCCCCATATTTGCATGCCGTGCAAGCCGTTTTGCTTCAAGTTAGTCAGGCCAGTTGTGGCCCTGTCCTTTGAAAGGACAGCCCTGTGGGTGCTTTGTCCCTAGACACCTGCTCTAACAGAAGCAAGATGGCACATGTGGACATGACAACCTCACTTAGAGTCGGTCATCCACCAGTTGTGACGCCACCTGGCTGCATGCGAGAGTTTTCGTGCCAAATGTAAGTTTACCACCGTTAGCCCGGGTGTAGAAGCCCCAAGAATTGCAACTATCATTGTCTTGGTAATCCTTACAGGACCCTTTGTAGATGAATGGGCCCTTCTGGTATAGAATCCTTGAGGAGGATCCGCACTTTACTGCCCTGCCCATGTCAAGGATCCCCAACTGCGAGACTCTAATCCCCCAAACCCAAAATCCCTAAACCCTAAACCCAAAATCCCCAAAACCTGCATTTTTTTTTTATCTTGGGAAGCCAAGAAACAAAGACTCTAGTGGACTGCTTTCTGTAATCTTGGCTTCTTGGCTTCCAAAATATTTTGAAATGTTCACAAGTATTAAGTTTCCATATTCTTCAATCCAAGGTTTTGAGACTCAAAGATTTTGGGGGACTCGTTCAGTCTGAACAACACTGGGTTTTACTATTTGGAATCCGAGATTCCGACGAGATTCAGAGATAATCCTTTACGAGCCCCAAATCCCAGATTGCAAGAGAGAGTCCCTCCAACGCCTGTATAAGGTCCTTGCAAGAGATTGAGCTGCATGTTTCAAGAGTTCTCAATAGAGGAGTGATACTACAATGAAAATACAAGGCCTATGTGAGGTCCTTGCTAGGGATCCTCTTCGTGAGCTGCTTTCAAAAGTTCTCCCTAGAAAAGTTTATTTAGGAATTCGTGCTGCGGATACTTGAGTGGCCAACCAAGACCTATGTGAAGTGGTACTACAGGGTCTATGTGAGATCCTTGCTAGGAATCCTCGATTTGAGCTGCTATGAAAAAGTCTCACTAGAAAGCCTTATCAATTATCAAGCATTCGCATTACGGACACTTGGCTAACAGTAATTTCAGTAATAATACTAACAATAATATTAATAGTAATGATAAGAATAACAGTAATAGCAGTAATAATACTAACAATAATAGTGATAGTAATGATAGAAATAAAAGTAATAGCAGTAATAATAACAATACTAAACCCTAAACCCTAAACCCTAAGGGGTACGACACAAGGCCTAAGTGGTTTGGTCGAGTTTGTTCTGGGGATCCTTCAGAGGTTACACAAGGATTGGCTTCTGGGATTGGCTTACGTGAGGTAGGGCGGAATCTGCTTTCAGAGAATATGATCCTTGATGGTATAGTCCCCCTGAAGTAGCTTTGGGTATGTTATAATAAGATCCCCATATACCCAAACCCAAGGTTACAAACCTTAAGGGTACAAAGGTCAACTCCCTGAAGATAGGAGCTTGGAAGAGCACGTGGATAAGCGTTCTTCGGTATGAGCCATGCGGGATTTCATCTTAGGAAGGTCCAAGCATCATGCCATACCATAGTATATGGCGTCTGGCATCTCTCTAGATGTGAACATGATCTTGTGTTTTGGAGGGGGGGGTGAGAGTGCTGATAAATAGAAGGAGCTTGGAATTGGGAAGGGCGCGTGCCAGATTTTCAGATGGATTATGCAGGCTTTCATGAAATTTTGGGTACCCAGGCATATCGTACTTTTGGCGCTAGGCATGCGGGATTTCCAAGGGTGTTTGCAATATTCTCTGTGCTTCTGCGACTGCAAGGGGTCTGCAAGTATGCGAAATGATACTTTTGGAGTAGTGTGTGTATATACATATATATATATATAGTGCATATGCGCATACATATTCCTTCAAGCCCTTCAATGGGAATCTGTGTGAGACAAGAAAGGGAGAACCGTGGTGCTTCCGCAGTTGCAGCAGATCGTCATGCTTTGCACGGTTACATTGTTTGCATGTTGTGGGGTTGAGGCTGCGGCGCGAGGGTTTAGGGTTTAGTTTTTTTGTTTTGGTGCGTGGACAGTGGGATTCTTGGAAATCTTGGTTCTTGTGGACGTGGGGTGTCCATATGGCGAGAAAAGAGATAGAAAAATCCTGTCCTCCATGGCTCTCCGCATTCCAGACGGCCGCGGGCTCTAGAAGAAGTTCTGGAACTTCGAGGGTTTGCTATGTGAATGCAAGCCAGGGGGACCCCTAATTTGGGAAGGTGAAATGTGATGAGGCTAAAACCTAAACCCTAAGTTTTGAGGCAGCTAATTACCATTGGTCATTCTGAAGCCCATAAGGTTGCACTCAACTTTAGGTTTTGCATATTGAGATATTCTAGAGTGTATATAGGAAAAGTATAGGCGATATGTACGGATGATTGTGTTGGAAGCTCAAATAACCTTAAACCCTAGGCCCTAAAGCCTCCCGAAGCTACTACATTGGCATTTAGGCTTCGAGGATGACTGGAGGTGTAGTTGTCGTTGTAGTGGGTATAGGGTTAGGGGTATAGGGTTTAGGGTTTCCAGGGCTTAAACCCTAAACCCTAAACCCTAGGTTTCCAGGGTTTAGGGTTAAGCCTCAAGTAAGGTGTAGTGTGTCGGGATGGCAATCTTCCCGCCAAGGTTGGTGGCGGACAACCATAAGTCAGTCAGTGCATCTTCGGAGGCTCCAAAGCAAAATGCAAAAGGGTTTAGGGGTTTGGGGTTTAGGGTTTAGGGGTTTTGGGGTTTAGGGTTTAGGGTTTAGGGTTTAGGGGTTTAGGGTTTAGGGTTTAGGGTGTAGGAACCATGGTGGGATACATGGAGACTACTTAGGAATATATGTATATATATATATATAGTAGAAGTTCTAGGCAGATGAAGGGAACCCGAGGCAGCTTCATAGGGTTCAGATCCGTTTCTAACCCCTGTCTGGGGTCCTGGTAACCCTTGCGTTTTGGGTACAACTTTGGCAGAACCTGATATTTGGGAACTACCACGCGCAGTTTAGACATTGGTAGGGTAGTCATCTTCCCTGCTTGTCTCTGGTAGGCTTCGGAGCTTTGCTGTCATTTTGGGGGTCGACAGTGTGGTTGCTCGCACCCCCTGGTGAAAGCAGACAAGCGCCAGCGAGAAGTCCTGCAGAACCTGTCCGAACAGGAACTACTGGAGATGTTACTGCGGCAGCTGTCACAGCGAGCGCTTCATGCTGAACTGGCTTCGGAGTCTTTCGGAATCCAGCAGCAGCTTCATCAGGCTCTTGCGAAGCTAGCGCACCAGGCCGCCAGCCTAAAACCAGCCCAGCAGCGGAACTTGGAGAAGCTTATGACGCGAATGAGTTGGTGGCAGCTGATGCAGGTTGCCAAGAAGAGTTCATGTGTTGATCCTGCTTTCATCGAGGAGATACAGAAAGAGATGGCCAGCCTCAAACATGGCACGGTGACACAGGAGCATTGCCATGCTAAGAGTTTCTGGCTCTGACCTGAGTCTCCCGGTGAGCACGTTTTCTCGTGTGTGTTTCAAGCACCCAGCGTTACGCCGGGCCTGCAACAGAACCTATAGGGGGTAAGATTGCAGTTTCCTGCCTTGTCACAGAAGATCGTGCGAACACGCACGATGCTTCTCTCTTGTATTGTACTGTAATTGTCATGAAGTTTTTGTATGTTTCACATGGGTTAATCCTATTTGACATGACACGAGCTAGAGAATGACAAAACTCTGCGCTTCATAATGAGCTTTATAGTCTAAACTCCTTAACGGGGCTTATATAGGGGATTATACGGGTGATTATTTCGGGGACTATTAAAGGGGTTTTTAAGGGGGATACTGGGAGTCTAGACTATTGCTCATGTGGTGCCTGGTGACTTGTGCTGGCCGTCAGTTCTTACGAACATGATCCTCTCTGTATGCCAAGCCCAAAGCGTCCAAGGACCCAAATACTAGGGCGGTTTAGGGTTTAGTGTCAGAGTTAGGGTTTTAGGTCCCAACTGCCATTCAGATTATAGTATCTAAGCCCTGAAGACCCATTGCTTGAGTCCTTGGGCCTTTACCCTAGGGCTCCAAATAACCCAATGTAGGTACTATTCATAGACACTGGGGCCCAATGTAGGTATCCCTAAGGGTCCAAGTACCTAATAATCATATACTTACCCAAAACCTGTTCTACAATTCCTCCTACCCAAACCCCAAGTACCAAATTATTGGGTACTTGGACCCTCTGGGTATTATTTATAGACATGGACCCCCTAAACCCTAAACCCTAAACCCTGAACCCTAAACCCTAAACCCTGAACCCTGAACCCTGAATCCGAAGCCCTAAACCCTAAACCCTATTGGGGAAGGGTAGCCTCGACCTGGCAGTGATACGTGCCGTCGCGTCCGCAGACGTTTGAAGCGCAGAGTTTTCAGTCCCATTATCCCAATATTACCCCAATGAATACTATAGTAGCTTCCATTTT